CCCCTTGTGATGCTGAGTCATCAGAGGGTAAGGACAGAGCGAGAATGAGGCAACACCAGCCACTCATTCAGCACTTAACTGCCCCCCTTTTTCCCCTTCCCTCAAAGTTTCACATCTCTGTTCACTTGCCTCATTTATTCAGAAGTCACATGCAGGGACAGGCATGTTTCAGCTCTCACGTGCGTTTTTGCTTCTCAGACAATAGAGTTAACAAAAACGTGGTACATTTGAAGTGCCTTGCCTGGAGGAGAAATAGATGGAAGTAATCATTGCTTTTATTAAACTAAGTATGTGGGCCTTTGGGAAGTGGGATAAGAGGAGTTAGAAGAATGGAGAATGTTGAGAAAACAAAATAAGTTTGATAAATCCCAGTGAACAGAACACAGAATTCTAAGGCTATGATGTTTAAAATTTTGAAATCTTAGCAGCAGTTTCCAGCGTATATTTCTGAAACCTGTAGGGGAACTTTGTTTTCAGAAAAGAGGTTTTAGTTTTCCAACTTTTAATTTAACAGAATAACAAATTGTTAAATCTGTTCTGAAGGATTTGGTTATTTTTTTGTGCTTCAGTCACTCCCAACAGTCTTTTCTGGCTGAAACCCACTTGAAAAATAGCAAATACTTATGTTTGTCTGCTGCTGTAGTGTACTGTGAGTGTTCAAGGAAGATATTCTTCAGTATTCTTCAAGAAGAAAATTGTTATGTAAATTATTAGATCAGAAAGGCAGCAAAAGCTGAAAAGAACCTAATATGTCTTAACAAATAAATTGCTGAAGAGAATCACAATACAGGCAATTAACAGAGGAGAGAAAAGGTGAACATTGAATAATTTACAAATCTGTCCCAGACTTCTCTCGGAAGGTCCCTGCATCTCTTTAGAAACCTACAGAGGGTTTCATCTCACCTGACTCCAGACAACTCTCGTGTGGGCAATGGTGTGATCCAGTCATCCATGATTCATTTATGGCTGAGTCAATGGAGAGAACTAGGGATTTGTAAATCATGATTAATGACCAATTTTTGTCAAGCACATCAAGACAAATGAATTGTTCTTCAGAACTGTTAACTGTTCACCATAGTCTGTAGGAGATCTTACACAGCTGACTCATGTGGAGGTGTTTAGATATTTCTACTTTATGTATCTGCAGTGAAAGTTTGGAAAAAGTGAATCTCAACTTTTCCTAAATAACACAAAACATAGAAAAGTCTGGGTATTTCTATCAGCACAGGCGACAGGAACATTTTTCTTATAAAAAAAATCTGAATGTTTAAAATTATAACAACAGTTAGTAGCTAATTAGCATCTCTTTCTTCTCTTCAGCAAAAAATAAGGAAGCAGAATCTGCTAGAGGTTAATCTGGAATTACATCTTACTAGGTGGGAAACATAAAGAAATGCTTTATTCACCAGCTTATTTTCTATAGATTTTCTGAGTAGCCTGTAATTCTGCCTAACACTTTACCTTGTAAATGTAGAAGCACATGGCATGACCTTCTACTCCTAATGGCCTTCAAGAAGCTGAAGTTAGATTATTTGGGGTCATGGGTAGCAACTAAGAAGTCATAGGTCAAATTCAAAACCATATTACAGCTCTAGAAAAAATAACCTTTCCAATAACTTATGGCATGACCTCCAGCTTGGGTAAGTCTGTGAGGGGCTCTTGTCCTCCATTCACCATTCATGTATTCAAAATCTCCTCCTCAAAAATGAAGAAAAAGTTCTTTCTCCTTGACTGCTAGGCTTCTTTTTTTTTTCCACTTTTCTTAAAGATAATTGTGGTTTTAGAAACACTATTTATATTAAATAGTCTGCCAGGAAAGCTGATTTTAATCATATGCATGAGTTCCACCAGTGCTGCTCCACAGAGTCCAACAGAAATATCATACGATATCAAATAAGTAGATTTTCCCCTTTTGGGGACAGATACACTTTTAAGAGAGGCATTGATATCCAATAGGTGTCTTAATTTATGACATGTTTAATTTTGTGCGTGACTACTACAGATGCCTTTTAGAGGAGTGAAAATCCATGTTTTAATATTCTGAACTCACAGGCTTTGTTCATTGTTAGATTCTGGCTTGTGCAAGCTCACAAGTGTTCATGACTGCTCAGAGCAGCATCAGCACAGTGAAAATTAATAGCCAGTTATCAGTGAGGCAGGCAGAAGGGCCAAGAGTCTGGAGATACACTGGAACCCAATTTGTGTCTATCCATTTACTTATCCTAAAGCAAATTTCTCAGCAAACTGCCTTCCCTGGGACAACATCCTCAAACAAAGAATGGTGAAGTTTCTTTCTGCCCAGTGTCTCAGTCCTTTCAGGAAATAACAAAAAATGACTTTGTTGATCTCTACAGCACCACAAACAAGGCTTGGCCAATGCCAACTGCATTTATATTTAAAAAAGTACCAAAAAGAATGGACAAAATGAAAGTGGAAAGAGCTTGAAAGAAAGTATTTAAAAAATAAGTCTTTATATTGTCTAACACTGTTACAGAGGCAAATATAGTCTGTCATGTCTCTGAAACACCAATATAGTTCCAGAGCAGTAATATGTGAGATCAGATATTAATATTTTAATAGCAGTTCAAAGGACAACTAAAAAATCTACCAGGGTTCACAGATGTTACCTGTCAGGAAATAACTCATTTTACCACTTTAGATTCTCCTAGCTTAAGCTGGGAAGCTGATGGGAGAATTGTAATTCTCAGTTGAGTGGAATATTTTGCTATGTCTTTAGGAGACCACCAAGCAAAACTTGTGAATCTGGGTTTTCTGAAAGTTGAGTTACTTTCAAAAGGAGTGTAAACACAGCATGTTTGAGGAAGTGAACCTCTATTTGCATCAAAGGCAAATAATTTTTGTTTCAGAGGGAGAAATATATAAATGTCTATTTTTTTATTTTTTTATTTTTTTGAGGTACATCTGAAAATGGTGCTAGGAGCTGCATTTGCTGAGGAAGCTTGACAGGGAATTTGTCTTCTGCACTCCTGGCTGAAGCTGAATTTCATCTTTCAGACTCATTGCTAAAGCATGTTGAAACATTTGTCTCTCCCATGGGTTAACAGGAGTCTATAAATTTGAGAACTTGGTGTATATCACACTGGATTCATTACTGAACCCCTGTTAACCAGAATGCCTTGTGTAGGGACGTCCATGAGGTATACATTTTCATATATATAGATAAAATATATCTATATTTTTCTCTTTAATGTTTTTTAACTTTCCATTTTACAGTCTTTCAGCCTTCAAATGACATGCTAGAAGGAAAGTCTGGACAACTGCAGCCTGTTTGTAAGGATGTGTGTGCTGTAACCCACTCTGCTAATGCGGCTCACAGCTCTGCTCTTCCTCCTCTGCACTGATATCCTCTGCTCCTTGGTCTGCGTATTCAAAGCCTCAGTGTCAGCTCTTTTTGTGTTATGCTGATGAAACAAATCCATGGCTTTCTTGTATCCACAATAAGAAAAGAGGCTGGTTCCTTTTCTGGGTGCATTTTTCCACCAAGCTCTGCTAGTTTTTTTTTTAGTGGAAGGATACAATCAGGAACTCTCAGTGCTGTCCTGACACCTCTGCCTGTGGCTCAGAGCTGGGAATGGATGTGGGAAGCACAGCTGGACAAGTCTGTGGGACTGCTACAGTGCTTAGGGGTAAGTGCAGATAGTTTTGTGAGGTGCATGATTTGGAAAAGCCATGCTGAACAGTGTTTTGCAGGATATCCAAAGCCTACACCCAGATGAATACAAACTATGGCTTTTTACTGCCATTTTTGCATTCTAAGAATGAGGAACAGAATCCTGCTGGGAAAGAGGATGAAAAATTCAAGCAAGAGACTTTACAAGAGGCTGAAACTTTCATCATCACTGGTTAGCATTACAAAAAAGCAACCCTTGTGCTGGCAAGGTAGTACCTTGCAATTGGAAGGGCTTATAGTCACGCCACATTGAAATACGCAAACACTTTTCACCTCAGCTCAGTAAATTCTTGGCATCAATCACAACCACCTCCTTCTTCACCTGAAGTGGTTTACACAAAACTGCCCATAATTCACTCTTTCTGAGATTCATTGGCTCAGTGAACCAAATCAAACCATCCCTGCAGGTTGCAGCAGGCTCGCTGCCCCTCTCCTCCCCCTCACCATGGGCAGCAGCAGGGGAGCAGAACAGCACTGGCAGTGCACTCCATCTGTGTGGACTGGCCTCACTCTTCATTTTGTATTTGAAATTCCAGATTCACCCTCTTCCCTTTGCCCAGCAGCATCCCCCCTGGCTGGGTCAAAGCTGTGCCAGATGTTGCATTATTTCTTTATAGCAATATTGCTGCTGCTGCCCTCCATGTGCAGATGTTGGGGTCAGAATTACCAGCATCAAACTTCTTTCAACATTTTATATAGTCCCTCCTATCTCCCCCATCCAGTATGCAGTTACTGAAACTCATGCTGAGTCCTCAGGATCCATGGATCAAAGAGAACATCATGAGAACAGATTGCTGTGCTAGCACAGGCTTCTGCACAGTTCAGCTTCTTGCTGCAGTGGCCAGGCCCTCTTACTCTGGAAATTTCATCCCTCAGTTACAAAAGACAGGAATTTGAAAGCTCCAGAGCCTCCTTACCCAGCAGAGATGTAAAGGAGAATGAGTGCTGTGACTGTCTCTTGACACCTTCTAGTGCTAGGCCAAGGATTTCTTAGAGCAAAGCATCAGAGCAGAATGCAGAGTTTTAATATGAGGGTATTGATATTCTACCTTCCTTCCTTCCTTCCTTCCTTCCTTCCTTCCTTCCTTCCTTCCTTCCTTCCTTCCTTCCTTCCTTCCTTCCTTCCTGCCTTCCTTCCTGCCTTCCTTCCTGCCTTCCTGCCTGCCTGCCTTCCTGCCTGCCTGCCTTCCTGCCTGCCTTCCTTCCTGCCTGCCTTCCTGCCTTCCTTCCTGCCTTCCTGCCTGCCTTCCTTCCTGCCTTCCTTCCTGCCTTCCTGCCTTCCTGCCTTCCTGCCTTCCTTCCTGCCTGCCTCCCTCCCTGCCTCCCTGCCTCCCTGCCTGCCTCCCTCATAAACACGGAAACACCAGGAAGCTGTTTGAGTGGATGAGGCTGGCACGTACACTTCAGTCTGGTGACCATCTTGGTGAGTGCTCTGCAGTGTGGGAGGTTCCATGCTGAGATCAACAACTCTTCCAGCCCTTTGTGCTATTCTGGCTCAAATGGAAGCCCCCATCTGTTGTTATCCTCAATAATCTGCCTGCCTAGCGGGATCACCCTTGGATGTGAAACTACAGCTGATCAGATGTCACTGGCTCTTCTTCAGTAGGTGGAAAACAAGAGGTTTACTGAGTGTGGAAAACACCTTCCTGACAACTGTATCACCATCCCCAGGGTGGGAAGCCAGAAAAAAAATAGCAAGGCAAAGAGCAAATAGATCAGACTCTACTGCACCTAAGGACCAGCCTTGCTTTACAAGTGAAAATGAGATTTATGTTATCAGCCTGCTCCTTTAATGATCGTTTGCTGACAATGCAAACCCATCACTTAATGGAGTGTGACTGGCAACACCCCCAAGAAAGAGCTCTGATTGGAAAAGCAGAGTTTGATTCAGGTCAGGCTTGAGGTACGCACCCAAAATACTGAAGGCATTGAGAAGAGGATCAGCACAGAGAGAGGAACTTGCTGCAAGTAATTTAATCAATTAATTTAGCCTGTTTCTTTTTCTCCTTGCTTGCAAAATGTTCACAGGCTGATTACAATTTCTCCAAATTTATTTCTTATTCAAATTTACTCAATGATATCTTTTGCACTTTTAAAAATAAATAATATTGACTGATTACAAACAATTCTCTGTGAGGACATGCTGTTCAGTATGCAAAATATGGTCTGATTTAGCTAATGACTTGGTCACATGGATCACACAGCATCATTTCTCCTCTGCAAGTGACAGCTATAGATCTTGCAAGTCAGGAAGAAATTCAGAATTTGTCAGTGGTGCAGACACTGAGGGAATAGGATCTGATAAACAGGTTAAGGGAGTTAGAAACTTGGAGCATCCTAGAGGAAAAATCAGCCTTCCTGAGATTTGCTGGCTGTGTGTAGAGTTTATATTTAACTTTCTTTCCTTCCCTATCTCAGACAGTGGTCTACAGCAGAGAGACAGAAAGGCCCTTTAATCTTAGTATATCCTAACTAGTTCCAAATCTTTCAAAACTGCAGGATGGAAACTGAGGACAAGAGAAGGAACATAGAGGATACAGCCAACCCTTGGATTTACCTTTCTGCTGTCCAACCAGCATGTTCTCAGCCACAGTGGAAAGGGTTCTGCTTTGCTGTTACTGCAAGCCAACAGCAAAATTTCTACAGCCTGGTGGAAAAAAAAAAACACACACAAGAATTGTGACTAAAGGAGAGACTAAGTGTCATCTCAGTGCTTGTTCTGAGCTGAGGAATTTTACACCAAAATCATTCTCCCAGGTCCTTGAAGTCAGTCTCTAATTCAAAAGGCATGGACAAGTGCAGGTCACAGTAGGGACAGAGAGTTCCTTCTCTGCAGGGCATGGCAAGGTACAGCTGCTGATTCCCAGTGCCAGAGACTGCTGTGAATGGGTTAAATCACCACTTCTCAGGAAAGACATCCACTGAATTAATGCCACTTTGTGGTCAACCCATGGCCCAGACAATCTCCCAGGCTTCCTTCCAGTTCTTTCTTTGCAGCTGGTCACTACATAAGGAAAGAGATCCCCAAATCCTCCTTGCCCAGGTCCTGGCCAAAACCAAATTTAGTCTAGGCTTCCACATCCTGAGACTCTTCCAAAAGAGAGGATAACTCAAGTGAATGTTGAATGCAGCCACTTGTAGTTCATGGTTTACCTTGTTCTGTGCAAGTGGAAGTCAATTACCTCAAATATTTGCATGGCACAACACTGGGAAAAGGTGTGAGTGCAGATCATGCAAATCAAACTGATACCTGAGCCAAGGCTGCAGTGTCATTTCACCTCATGCAGCATCACCAAGGCCTAAGCAGGGGCTGGTCTGGCCTAATCTGAAATGCAGGACCGGAATTATGTTGAAATGTGGGAGAAGTGTGGAAGAGCAGCCCTGAGGGCCCTGCAGAGCTGTGTGGGGTGGGCTGCACAGCCCTGCCTGCACAGGGCAGCACCGGGGCTCTCTGCTCACTGCAGGCTCTTCTGTAACTTCACATTAAAGCCAAATTTAGCTACACAAACCATATGATGCTCTCATATGGCAAAAACTCAGAGGCTGGCAATCCACAGTGTTATTACCAGGACAAGGGTACTTTTGAAGCAGCTGTTAAGGTGTAGGAGTGTGTACATGAATGGAAATCCAAGTGGAATTCTGAACGGGGACAAATGTGCTTTCTCTTTTAAAAATGCACCTCCAACCCCCTTTTTTTTTTTTTTTTGCAGTTTCACCCTATTGTCACATTCTACTTCTTCCACTTCTTTTCCAAAGAAAGCAAACATGTCCCATTTCCAGCAAATTGCTTATTCAGTGCCCGTCTTCCCAGTGCTAATGGCTTTCTCAGATGGGAGATGCTAGGCAGGATCCAAATAAAAAAAAAAAAAAACAACAAAATAAAACAACCAAAACAATTAATAGGCATGATCCCTTTTTTTTTTTTTCAACATGCCATAATATTTGACTTTCCAGATTGGCAGCACCATGGGAAACTCAACACTTGGATAAAGAGCAGTGCATATGGTGAATATGGGAGACAAATTTTGAAGCTGTAATTCAGGTAAGTGAGAGCTGAGAGGAGTTTTTCCTTCCTTTTTTTTTGTTTTTTTCAGGCAATGATTTTAGAGCACAGATCATCAAGTCCATATTAAAGAGAATGTCTGGGCTAATGCTCTCCAGCCTTGATTCTCAGATTAGTAGCTGTTTTATAAATAGTACTTTAAAATGTCTTAGCTGTATAAGTACATGAGACCTCAATGTTTCCCTTGTGGACTAAACTGAAACCTAGTTTGATTAAAAATATTTATTTTTGTTTTAGTATTTCCAACTATGTATTGGCCAAAGCAAAAAAAAAAAATAAAAAACCAAAGTAACCATCAAGTCACCTTTTTTTGTAATTTACAGTGATTCTTTTGCTATCTTGATTATATTTTCTTTATTAATCTCTCTACATATTAGCTGTTCTTTATTACAGGTAAGTTTGTAGAGAAGAAAACCATACAATAGAACCATGTTATATTGAATATCACAGTAAAATCTCAACAAACACAAGTGTTTTCCTTTGTTTTAGAAATCAATGGATATTTAATTAACATGGGGTAAGAACTCTTGCAGTTAGAAGAATCCCCTCAGATTAAATGAAATCATTATTACAGGTTAAATGGGAACACAGATTCTTCTGAATAATTTCAAAGTTTTCTATAAACAAGGATGAATTTAAATACTCTCTTTTTCTTCCAACATGGTGCAAAAATTGATGTTTTATCCCCAACATCCTCCTAACCCGGGCACTCAGACACCCACCCAATAAAAAGGCAGAGGACTGCTCAGAGGTTGAAGGAATGCAAACTCATGGCATTTCCTGAAGAATTAGGCAATTCTTCCTGGCAATAGCTGGTAGTTACCAGAGATTGTGTTTTTTGAAGCTTGGAACACCCATGTGAGTAAAAAGGACTCTTTCCATGAGCACTGAGTGAACTCTGACACACTAAAAATCCACAAGAATTTTCCAAATTTTCACTCTTTCTGGGTGCTTAATTTGATTTTAGGTTGTCCAGCCTGTCTGTCCATCCAGCCTGGATCCTGGGAAGCCTGCTGGTGAAGACATGACTCTCCAAGAGGGACTGCTGAAGTCACTTGAAGGATGTCACACAATGAGATATTCCATGGGAGCCTGCTGCCTACGGCTGACACTTTGTTGATAAGCCTTGTTTTTAATTTCTCTGCTTTTCACCCCAAGGAAATGTAAGAATATTTTCACACATGTAGCGTTTCCAAGAAAATGTTAAGGCAGCATCAAGTATTTGGGAGACAAATTAAGGAAGATTTATACAAGACAAGCCAGTAAGAATGATGAGAAAAACAGTGCTGAGAGAAGAAATATTTCTGAGAATTCTAGATATTCCCACTGTTGCTATCAGCAAGTGGCCTATATTGTCACACTTGTGTGTTAAATAAATGCAGTGTGTTAAACAAAGGCACTTTTCAGGTAAAAGTAATGCATGTCCTTTGTTTTGGTGCTCTGAATTCTTCAGCATAGCAGGGGTAGATTTGCCCAGAGGAGTTGTGAGTACATACTCCCTGAAAGTGCTCCAGGATGGGTTGGACAGCCTTGGAGCAGTCTGGTTTAGTGGAAGATGTCCCTGCACATGGCAGTGGTTTGGAATGAGATGATCTTTAAGGTCCCTTTCAACCCAAACCATTCAATAATTCTATGATTTTTTTTTTTTTGCTTTTTTTGAGGGAAGAAAATAACCCTTGGTCTCATGGACTACAAAGAGCATTTATACCATAAAAAGAAATAAAGGATGATGATGGTTTTGGGGCATAAAAACATTCAAGTTCCTCTTTCTTCCCTGCTCCAATCTGCCTGAGACAGCATCTCTTCTCCCCAGTGCTCTGTGCTGTCAGGGAGGGGCTGGGGATGCAGAATCCTTAATCACTGCTCCAGAGAGGGATGGGGAGGAGGGGTTGGGGGAACAGCAGAGGGAAAGAGCAGAGCTGACGTGGATGGATGGCATCGTTTGTGGCAGCACTGAGGGCTGCACACGGCAATCCTGCCCCGACACTGCGAGAGCAAAGCCAAGATTATGGATAGGCTGTGGAGTGCGGTGCCTGGGTATGGACTTTATCAGAGAGCAAGCTGCAGATTAACCTCCTGGCCCCCTAATCAGGATTGTGCTCGTGCCCCATCTATTACCAGAGCTGGGCAGGGTGGGATGGGGAGGAGGGGAGCAGGGCCAATCTCACCACACGCCTCTCTGTGTCCTGCTGGAAGTTTTGTTTTGCTTTCTTCACTGGCCTCTAGGGTAAGAATTCTTGGAGTCTTTATTTATTGCCAAGCGGAACCACCGTGTGACCGTGGAAATACCTGTCGCCTAATTAAATTGTCTAGAGAGGAATTTTGGAAAGCGCTTCTAATTCAGGAGCTTAATTTAGGCTGGGCCTGTGCACCGCAGATTTCTGTCTTATTATTAGATGGAATTTTAATCACTGCAGATCTCCCCCCACCCCCAGCATTTTTTTCCTCTCTCCCCATCTCCTAACAACCTGATTCTGGCACAATTCCCTTCCCCTTTAACCCTCCTGAGCTAAAAATAATATCCTCTTGGAACTAGCCAAAAAGAAGAAAAAAGGGGGAGGGGGAAAATAAAGGAGCAAGCAAGCACTGAACCAGAGGTGTTTAATTAGCAGGAGTGAACTGGAGATGGGTTCAGCAATCATTTTACAGCAGCCTCTCTAGAGACAGACCAAACACACCACGAGACAAGCCCAGCTCACAGGTCCCAAAGGAAGGAAGGTGGTTGCTCACAGGGAACCTTAAGCCTGCAAAATGCAGCACCCCTGTGCCTGGATTAAAACAAGAGAAAGATCCCGTGGTGAGTGCAAGGATGCTATAAACAAATGGCCTTAGGTAAATGTTACAGTCTGGCCAATTGTTCTGTGCACTGCTGTTCTCCTGCACTGAAACTGCAGCTTAAAGTGCTCAGAGAAAAGAGACACTGGGCACAGGAGGGGTGGGAAGGGCATGCTGTGGGCAGAGATGGTGCCCACACAGTCTCAGAGCTGTCAGATGTCTGAAGCCGAGACCTCAAGCAAGTGTTTGCCTCAGAGTGGATCAAGCACCATGAGCACACCTTTAAAGTACATTAAAACTCTCAGATAGGAAGCATTAAATATGGTTAAAAGGAGTAGTCAGGCTCATTCAGGCAATGGCTCTGTGAGTGTCCAGGCCCAAAAGAACCAGCCTCTGACCCTGACATCCATGCAGTCCTCACAGGGAAAGCCCTGGAGTGGCTCCATGGCCAGCTGAGCATGGCACAGTGCTGGGGAGGGAGAGTTTTACCATGTCCAGTCCCCCTGCACCTACAGTGCTGCAGCTGCCACCACGCCCTGACCTTTCCCAGAATGCCCATTTTCCTTACTGCAATCAGGTTCCATGAGGATTACAGGAAAAGTCAGGAAATTTGTCTTGTTTAATCGAGCCTCTGTGACATAACTATGGCACACAAGTGGCTCTGCTCTAGCAGTAAGTTTTAGACCGGGCCTGTGTGTGGATGTGGTGTGATGAGGGGTGTAGCTACACACCTGTGTGGCTGTGCTGCAGCGTTTTCCCTGATTCTTGTGTGCTGTATCAGCTTTGGGCATCTGCCCCTGCTCCTGCTGGAGTGCCCTGCAGGCACACAGCTCTGTGCTGCTGAGCCAGAGGGGAGGAAAAGCTGGTCTACTCCAAGTATTGAAATCTGAGATTCTCTCTTTGGACAAAGCACAGAAACCTCTCTCTATCTCAGCAGTTGGATTTAGTCTGAATCATCTCCTAGGATTCTCTTCCTGCTACAGAGAGAATTTCTAATCCCACCTGGGATTAAATTTGTAGGCTAAAGCATCACAACATCAATATTGATTTTAAACCCAGGGAGAGCAATAGAAGCCATAGGAAAGAGAACAGGATAATGCATTGATCTATCGCCTTTTCAAGGCAGGAGCATCTGGAAATAGATATACATCTATATGTGTCTATACTTATAGAGAAATATATCCATATTTAATACACAAAATACATATTGTGTGTTATATTTAATATATAACTGGATTTGTGCCTTCTTCACTTCTGCTTCTGCCCAAGGCACACTGGGCATAAGGTGAAATGACCACACCTGACCTAGGCAGTGAAGTTCTCCCTGTCCAGCCTGGGGTCTGGAAACACATTTGCCAGCTTGAGCATATTATAGGTTACACCAGAATGACTGGGAGTATGAGCTCTATCTGGTTAAAGATGTTGATTTGAACCCCAAAACTGAAGCACTTTGATTTTGATATACATATACACAAACACACAAAACCCCTAAACTTTTGATGTAACTTTGAATTGCCTTTTCCTGGTCAGCTGTACCAGGCTGTATTTCCTGCCAGAACCATTAAGCATCAATCATTCATTGTTTCATTAGTGCTGAAATGACTTTCTAATTGACTTTGTAATTGTAGTTAAAAGCAACTTTTGCACAAGCTCCAAGAAGTCCTGTGTGTGTCCTGCCTTTCATCTGCTGTCACTGGAACTCAGCGAGGATGCCTTCAGCAGAATGCCTTCAGACAAATCACTTGTTCATAGGATATTGCTTTATCTTGTATTTAGTTTGATTTTACTTTTTTTATTCCAGGGTCTGATAATGACTTGATGTTTCTGCATTATGGGATATCTGTCTGATTATTATCTAGCCAGGAGCTAAAGCATCACACAGTGACCCAAGAAACACACCATGGGCAGCAGAGCTTCCAGAATGTTCTTGACACTTTTGAAGTCTCAGCAACACTTTTTAAATGACCCCTGGTTTTCAGTCATTTTGCAAAGTTAGATTATTTTCTAATTAAATCTTATGTGCACCTGCCCTGGGCTGATTCTTTGGTGTGGCCTTGGTGCAAAGGCCCTGAGGCCTGGCAGGGCAGGGCCAGGCCCTCAGGAGGAGAGGTGCTGAGTGCCTCCAAGCTGAGTAACAGCACCAAGTGCTGCCTGCATCCAGATGGAACATCCAGGGAGCCCTCACTGCCCAGAGGGGCAGGAAAGGGAAGCACGAGGGAATGCTGCTTCCCCCCAGCCAAAGATAGAAGGCAGAGTTCTCCCCTGCTTTTGGCTCAGGAACAGGAGGGGCATTTCCCCACCTACTTCCCCTTATGTTGGTCCTACCAGCATGGAAGGCAACAGGCTACGAAACCACAGAGGAAACAAATCTGCAGTGAGAACAGCCACGCTGCTAAAAATGCCAGAGGGAAGCAGTTTTGGCTAGGAGGCAACGCCTGGGGTGATGGGGACCAGAGCTGATTTATTAAAATCCAGGCCTTGGGGCCTGGGGCTGTTTCACAGAGACTTCAGCAGCCAGTAATAAATCCTTTTAAAAGGATCCACGTCTCCATCACTGCCTTGGAGAGATCAGCATTCAGGGGACTCTTAACCCCAGCTAATCTCTACTGCTCAGAAAAGTCCCCTCACTGAGGTCATTGTTGCTATTATGAGATTATAGTAAAATAAATACACTTGATTAGTTTAAATGTGTCACATTCTCAGCTAATCTTGATAAAAATTTCACTGCACTATGCTAAGGCCAGCTGCAATTCCCAAGTCATTATCTTGCCTTTCCAAAAACTCCTGTTGAATACTGGAGCAGAAATTAGTCTGGGTGATAGCACTGAAGACATCACCTTCTAACAGCATTATTGCTTTATTTGTGGTGGGTGGGTTAGCTCTCAAAAACTGTTCCATGCAGGAGCAGCATTTCTAGAGCCAAGTTCTCCATGGATCTGACAGAGCTTCTCTTGATTTGCTCCAGGATGGGAGGAAGCTCACATCCTGGCACCCACATCCCTGCTCTCCTGTCGAGCAGCTCATGCTCCACAGCTCTGGAGGCTGAGCTGTTCACCACAGAGTGTTCTCTGAAGCCCATGGCAGCTGCAGGCAATAGCAGCTGCAGGTAATAGCTTCTGTGCCCAGGCCAGGGGATGCTTTTGCTTCCTTTTTGTCCCATCAGCACCATCACAGCCCTGTACCTGTGGAAATCCTTCCATCAAGCCATGCCTGTGGAGATGGAGATGAGGGCTGGGGGCAATAGAAAGAATGCAAAGCCTTTTTCCTCAGTAAAAATTTGCTGGGTTTTAGGCAATTCCACTTATCATTATGTGCTGTCTCCTGATTCTGATCAGCTGCCTGGGGATCCTACCTTGCACTCCTAATTAGCTACAAGCACTGCAGTAATGAATGGTGTGCTGGGGTTAGTGTGGGGCTCAGCTGGAGACCTTTCTGTGTCCTGTTTTAGTGCCCAGGCTTGGTGACCTTTGCTGTCTGAGGCTGTTGACCTGGCTGCTGCATGTTTTGCTTTTGAGCATGAACCCAAAGTGCAGATCAGAGCAGAGAGGTTGGATAAACAATCTGATTTCTACTCAGAGCAGCAGAGCTGACTGGTCAGCATTCAGGTAAATCAAAC